GCCCAGCCCCTACATGAGTGAACTGTAGGAGGAAGATGCAGGAGGTTTCTTCTCCTCCCTGCAAAAGCCAGGCAGAACCACAGCCCCTGTGCTACTGGCAAATGACAAATGGGATGTTAGAAGAAAGCATGACTGTAACTTGGTTCCATGCACAAGGTCAGAACCTAAGAGAAGACAAGCACAGACTGAATGCATGCTGCCCCTACCAGCCTCTTGGGATCGGATTACTGCTCTCCCCTTGCTATATGGCCCAGTCTTGAAAGGTGCTGAATGATGCTCAGCTACATTCAGTGCTAACAAAAGATACTCAGCATCTCCCAAGATTGGGTCTTTTTTCATCAGGGCTTGTGGCTGATCAACCTTGAGCAGTACTAGCTGCCTGTAATGTTGGCAACTTTTCCCAAAAGGACATAAGAAATGCGTAAAAAAAATAAGTAAATAAGGGGCGGGGGTGGGGAGCTGGAGCCTGGCTGGAGGAAGGGAGGGAGCTCAGTGTGCCAAGCTGGTAGGTAATGAGCCTTATCTCTGAGCCTCCTCTTATTGCTACCCACTCTCACTGCAGCTGTGCTATCCCTACCATTCTTTAGTTTCCTCCCCACTGGACAACAGAAAAAATCAGACATTCTGCTTTACTTTTGTGACCCATGTACTTCTTCTAATCTCCAACCTCTAATAATGACTTAGGGCCACTCTTCCCCTTGAGAGTGGCCCTATGATTACGAACTGCAGAATCAAGTTCTTAGCTACAGACTCCAGGGAGAGATGAAATTTACAACCAGGGAAGAAGAGCTCTTGGGGATCTAAGGCTAACCTAATACTAAAAGCATCTTTTGAGAAGACTAAACTGAGGCTATTCCTTTCCATGATACTCCTTTCTCAGATATGACAGCTATCCAAAATTATTTCCAGCTGCACTTTAAAAAAAAAAAAAACCCAGGTAGAACTAAGATTAAAAAATAAGTGCCATTTCATGACTAGATCTACTGAAATAAACCCCCTGTTATAATGTCTTGGAAGGAATTGTTGTTTGCCATTTACATTAATTGTGATTTTGAAAAATCAACACAAAGAAATTAACTATAAATTGATTATTCATATTATAATAATAAACATATAAAGAAAGTGACTTTACATAAGTAACATACCCACTGTAATATCCACACTAGTATTGTGCCACTGCAGACATTTTTAACATTAATCCATAACATAACTAGCTGCAGTGAAAGAAAAAACGGTTTGTAGCTATCCTGTGTATCTCAGACAGAATAATATAACATAACATATGTTTAAAATGATAAAGACTTCCAAGAATAAGATGCAGGTTCCAGAAAAATATTCATACACGCCCAAACAAAAGCAAAATCCTGTAATAACTAAGTAATGGCAACATTTTATATCTTCTATATCTAGAAGTTGGGAAAAAATCTAACCAAAACCAGTCCCTTTCAGTGGCTTAGCTGGTCAACAGTCTCACACACAAAGCCCAGTGCTCTTCCCTAAAACCTAAGAATTAATCAGCATTATGTAAGAGATTTTTATAACACACTAAAAATACATTGCGAATTCCTTTCTAGTGCTGGACTGAAAAGCTTAAAGTGACCCCTCCCCTTTTTAACAAACAATGGATCTACATTTCTGATATTTGGGTCTTAGATTTGTCTCAGTGCATGTGTCTCAAATTTCATTAATTACAATATTGGCCCCATGAGATGCAGTTGCTGCTGCAAAGAACAGTGTTTGTGCTCTGAATGATTTGAGCAAGCGCACAGATATATTTTATTTGCATGCATAAACACTTTCAAAAAGGACTAATGACATATAAAACTTCATAAAACTGTTTGGCTGTTTTCATGTTAATTTATCTGTTTACTAAACAAACTTTTGCAACCATGTGAAAATATTTTGTTTGCACTGGACTGATAATGCATAATACAGCATTATAGCATTCTTGCAAACAGCTGTAACATTAACTTGGCAAATCTGAAGCAAAGTTATATGAGTTTATTTGTTCTTTTCATGCACTAACGTAGTGTTTATAATAAATAAGGTATAATGCTACTTCTAAGCTTTCCATGGAAGGACCTCTGATCAAAGTTCTGAATTCATTATCTGAATTTCTCTATTAGAAAATCAGTCCATGAGAAGGAGCATTTACAGTTTGGAAGTGCTACAGCAAAAATTTTACTGGGCAACATTTCTTTTCCCTCAAACTTTAGCTGTTTATTCCCACTCTCAAAGTTCATTCCATCCCTAATGGATTAAGCCCCAAAGACCAAATTTTGATGTATGCATCACTGAGATAGCTGTAGTTTTCTGGGATAACGCAGCTTGCAAGGCCATGAATGAACCATATAAAAGTGGGGATAAAGCATTCTCAGTTGAGAAAATCTGCTTATGGGATGAACTTCCAAAGGGAATTAGGAGAACCCAGAATCTAACCACTCAGGAAATGATGCAAAATCTTCCACTTGGAAAAAACAAATTTTCTCCATTAGATTTGTTGACATTGACATCACTATCTACCCAAACACTGCTACCCTGAGACTAGAAATCAGGTAACTGACCTGACACTCAACAAAAGAAAATTTTCACTTACCAAGCAATAATTTTTATTCCAAAAAAGAAGAAGAACCTATAACTACGTAAAGTCCAATAGCAACTTCATTATTGCTGTCAATTTCAGCAACAACCCAGATATTATGTAATGGGCGGTAGGATAAAATCCTAAACCAAAGGATACTTTTGACAGGCCATACACAGTTGCTGTATCACAGTGCACTCAAATAAGCAATCAGAGACTTAAGAGGAGAAGTATACTCTGGATTACAATGAACATTTACCAGTATGGGTTTCAACCCCCCTTCCCTTCCACCCGCTTTCTCTACCTTTATAGTAATGTCTTCTCTTTTTTCCTCAGCTGGTTTTATATCCTACATTCTTACCTGAAATTTATTACTTTCTTCCCTCTCCTCCACTATCAAATGATTTCTTTGTTTCTCAAAAAGGATTCTCTGCCCTTCCTGTCCCTCCGTTTTCCAGGCCTGTTTTAGTGACCCTTGCTTACGTGGTAAGTATTTGCTCACGAGTAGTTCACGAGAGGACCTACACAGTCAGTATTAATCAAATGTTTCTCTGTTTCTCACTCTTCATTTACATGCCCTCTTAAACTTTCCTCTTTCCAGCCCTTTCCCTTTTTTATCATTTCCCCAGATTCAGTTGGCCTTGTGTTTCCCAGTTTGCTTCTCCACCCCTGTGGTTTCTTTCTTTTCCTATGCTATCTTCTTTCCCCTTCTATTCCACTGCTACCTTCCATTTTGATTTCCTGTCATTTTCCCCATATCTTCCATTCTCACCGTTGCTTGTTTCCGTTCCATAATTCTGTTTTCATACCACCTGTATCAGAGAAATATGTATTGATACAACCCCCCAATGCAGATATAAAGTGGACTTTTTGAGGCACTACTTAATCTAGTAAATTAATACAATGGGTTACAATAGCATAAATCCCATAGCATGTCAACATGGTAGGTCTACATTAGAGATGTTTACTGACAGGAATGTCATTTTAATGTAGACATTCAGTGACCCTGAAGCATTTCACACCTTCCTGTTGACTCCCAGTACTCCTCTCATCCACTTCTTCCTCTTAGCCACTAACACCTTCCTAAGCCTCCAGTATAGTGGTACCTCCCCAGTTTTTTTTGTGTTAGCAACTGAGATGCCAGAAGATGGGTTTTCTGTTGCTCTGGGCCATTAGGCACTAATGATGACAAATGGATGCTGGTGGACTATGTAACCAGCACAGGGGTCCGGACTATCCCACCTACCTCCTCAAAGTTTATGCGGCACTAATTATGGGCGCGCTGTTTTTACATTGCAAACACTTCAGGGCAGGAGTTGCTGCAAACACTTTGGCCCCGTCTAAAGCAGGGTTATGCGAGTGCTTGGTGTCACGCGAGTGCTTGGTGTCACGCACCAGATGTCCCACGGGACGGCTCCCGCGTGGATAAAAGCCAAGCGTGCGCAGGATGCTGGCCTCTACGGGGTCCTACTCCCCAGATAGCCTGTTGGGGGGCCACCCAAGGTCATGGGCAACAGCAGCAGGGGAGGGTCCTCTCCACAGAAAGGGCACCCCCGGGGCCACAGATGCTTGCGGCTGTGCGCCTTGGCCCCCCCTTTAGATCTGAACAGCAAATCCTGCAGTTGGGCCCTGGAGACCCGGTCCCACGGGGACCCTTCCGTGGGGGGGTGCGACCAGCAGAAGCCTGTAGGGAAGTCGGGGTCACCTGCCTCGAGGAGGGGCACCAAAGCCACTGTCACAGCCAGCCCCTTCCCCCGGCCCCTGCCCGCTGTGTGGGGGCGGGCGGCGACGGGGGCCGCGCTGGAGGCAGCGGTG